ATATGTATATGTATGTATGTATATATTTTTTTTCTCCGACAGTGATGAATTGAAAATACTGACGTAAAGCAATAAGTGCCCAAATACAAATTAATTAGTCTCACTGTTTTACAGATGGGGTCGAGGATTCGGTCTGTTGGGTTCCATCTTTGGAAAGGACAGTGCAATAAATCAGTCAAACAGTGTTTTTGGACTTGTATTTTATATACTACAAATGCTACTTGGTAAGTATGAATTCAGCTTAGAGCCTGAAGTATTTAACAGGTCTGTGGTGAGGAATTCTAAGTATCTAAATGATCTATTTGTACTTTTTTCATTGACTTTGAACGTTGCTTTTTTTTTTTTTTTTTTTTTTTTTTTTAGCACCAGTGTAATCATACGTCTGTCCAAAGGGCTTAAAAACCCAACTGATGACAAGAGCAGTTGCATTTTCCTCTGCTATGCTATTAATAATATAAGCGTCAAGACAGTTGCTGCGCTGGTATTTTCACTTAAATATATTTAGCATTGGGTTGCACAATAGGAAAGAGAGGAATTAAAAATGGAATTTACAAGTTCTGCAGGAGTAACCGAGATAGCAAGCAAAAAAAAGTGCATGAAATATAATGTATGGATATTTCTTTGTAACTATATGGTCTGCTTTAAAGCTGTTAATATTGATAGATGTAATTTGACAAACCTGTAACTTTCACATATAACTCAGGAATATGAAGATGGTAAATACTACAGGTACGTGTTATCAAAGGGCTGTTGTACAGAACCTAGAAGCTCCCCTCCAAATAGCTATTTGTCAGCCATCTCGAACTCTTGGTATTTTAAACAGACTTCTGTGTAATACAAACTTGCTGAGCAGCCTTCAGTTTGAATTGGGGTGCTTGGGCTTTTTGCTTTGTGTGGAAATGGGGAATGAGAGCAGCAGTGGTAACTTTCTCTCTCTTGTTGCAGGTATGACAGCAAGTGCAGTAGCAGCGCTAATCCTCATGACATCCTCCATAGTGTCTGTAGTAGGATCATTGTACTTGGCATACATTCTGTACTTCGTGCTGAAGGAATTTTGCATTGTCTGCGTCATCACATATTTGCTGAACTTCATTCTCTTTATCATCAACTACAAACGACTAGTTTATTTGAACGAGGCCTGGAAACGGCAACTCCAACCCAAACAGGAATGATGCCTGTTTGAACTTTTGACTGACAGTCTGAAGACCCAACTTCCATTAAGTTTATTTTGCAGTAATTTTTTATTCTCCATATCAGACACTTTCCCTGAGAACCATAACTGAATTTTTAATTATGAATTTGGAGGGGCCCTAGATAATTTTTTTTTTTTTTTGTTCTAATCTTCAATTTAAATGTGGTTAGGAAAGAAAGCTCTAATACAATCAAAGACAAGCTTTAACTTTACTTTGAAGGAGTTTTAGCCACAGCAAAACCTAGACTCTCTCTTCCCTCTCCACTTGTGAAGTGGGTAACACTTGCTATAAAATATCCTGTATATAAATTCAGGTATAACAAGATGTGGTCATGACATTAAATATTCTAGACTAGCATTACCATATTTAATGTTGCCATGTTTACAGTATGTGTATAACTTTTTTTTTTTTTTTTTTTTTTTTTAGCTGATGGACTTAGATTTGACTAGGACTTATACTGTAAATAAAATTAGAAATATTGGTTTCATCCCTGGAGAACTCCCTGTACAATCAGTTTTGTTAGCTGTCAGAGTGTTCAGCTATTAGTCGACTGACGTGATGGAAGAAGTGACCTCTATAGAGAACACCGTGTTGCTGCACTCACTGCTAGTGCTTTCACAAGAATGATGGTTGGGTTTTGTTCCATTTTTTCTTTTTTTCTATTTTTTTTTTTTTTTGTTGTCTCCAGTAACAAAAATGGAATTAAAGCTGAAACCTGAAGTATGTTCATTAAACCACAACTTTATTAATTTCTGTACAGAATGAAAATAGCTTAATGTGGTCAATAGAAAGCTTGCCACTGAGATATGCCAACTGGGGACTGGTGTATCAAAGAGAGTTCTTTGAAAGGACTTAATTTCCATGCAGAGCTGTTTAATTTTTAAACTGTGGTCAGCCACCAGTGTTACTAATGTTTGATGTTAGATGAATGCTGCAGTATAGACCTGCAATTTGCAGTGGAAACCACGGAGTGGGATAACCCAGCAGTGCACTGAAGAAGCAGTTACTTAATTGATCTTCGTCAGGATCTTTGGTTTGTGCTATATTGGGAAATGAACTTTAGGCCTGACACACATAAGATTCCTTGGAAGGGCAACGTGTTTAGTGGGATAAGTAAGTAAATGTGCTCCTGAAAATGAAATGTGATACAGTGCTATCATTGCTCTTTCTAATAACTAATCGGGCAAAAAAATTAAACTGCGGATTGAAACAAAGGAACAAAATTTTAAGTGTTGTTTCTGCACTCAGTATTCTAAGGCTGAATTTAAAAGTGCCTTCTGTCTTAAAATCTTAAACCAAATACTTTGTGTTGAACTTGGCAGGCAGAAGTGTCCTTGCTTTAAAAATGAACAAACAAAATTCCCAGCAAATTTGATGGGGATAGAGTATTAAGAGATCTATTTTAGTTTTTAGACTGAGAAGTGGTAGCAATATTGTTTCAGTTAACTTAAATCAGTGCGATAAAAGGTTGATGATGTGATTTGGAAAAGTAAAATACTTGTGTTTCAGACTGTGACACCAAAATGTGTAGGTTCAGCCACTTTCTGTAATTGGTGCTGCGCTGCTTTTTGCCCTTGTCAGCTTCTAAGTATGAAGAATTCCAACTGCGTACCCATTAATTTAAAGAATTAGTTTAACTAATTTTAGGGGTTTTTTTCCTTAAACATGAATGTCAGAGACACTTATGTTGTTACAGCTAAGTGGATTATAAACACTAAGTTGCTGAGGATAAACTTGACTGTGAAACATGCAGTGTTGCGTAGAGAAACATAGAATTTTTAGATTGAATTTACAAAATAGTATTTAAATTACTACTGAAGTAATTTTCTGGTTTGTATCAAGGATGTAGGTGGAAACTGCTTTAATGTATAGAGTTCTGTGGTATGAGTAACATCTGTTGCATGTAACACTAAATTACTTGTCCCTCTTGTCTAACAGTTTTAGACCACAATTCATTAAATGCGTTTTGTATTGACCAGAGTATAGTTAAAGCTTGTCTTGATGTTTAGTTCTGTCTCTCAAATGCCTTGAACTTTGATATGAGGGGAGTGAATGATGTCAAACTGGTCCCTCAGGGCTTTACTTTGTTCTCTTACAAGCCTTGAGGCAATATCACTGTTTAATATGTTGTCTAGGTTTATTTTAATGCATTCCTGTGATTTACACTAAGGCATCTTTTCATCCAAGGAAGAGGTGAACACATGCTGCCTGAAATGGTTAGTCACAGTGCTAATATCTCAGAACAAGCAGCAATGGAGACAAGTATAATCAGTGATTACTTGGTCCAATTTCTGGGTGTAATACACACCAAAAAAAGAAAAAAGAAAAAAAAAAAAAAAGGAAGAAAAGCCCCATCAGCTGAAAGTATAGGTGTTGACTAACTTCACTGTGTCTCGTGCTTGTCTGTGTGGGCATAGTCTGTTAATTCAGTTTGTTTAGTAAAATTGTTTAGGGCCAGATTTTCAGCAGTCGTGTCTGCAGTCCTTGTTTGTGTGCACATAGGGATCACATGGAAATGGAGTTTGGTCTCTGGAAGAATTTGCAGCTACACTTTGTGCACAGACTTGCAAATCTGATCCTTAATTGTGAACTCTCTTGTCTTGTGTGCTTTTCTTGCAGTTACTTTTTACTGGAAGTGATTTGCTAGAAATGGCCCTAACTCTTCTACTTTCTCTCTTGTGCTTCAGAAATGCAGTTGGCCTGAATAAAGGGCAAAATAATCTTAGCAGTAGAAATTTGGACCTTTTTGCTTCCAGTTCTTTGACTCTTTCTTCGTTGTTCCCAATGATAGAAACAGCGTATTTCTTCCAGTCAAATGGCTCAGGTTACCATTAGTGATGGGATGAAAATCAGACGAGTGCTTCATGAACTGCCCCCCTGCTGCCCCCATCCAAAACAAATGTGGCAAATATGTGGTTGATATTAATTGGAGCCTTACAAATCCAAAGGGAAATTCTGAGAAATCTTTTAAGGATACAAGAGCATGGGTAAAAAAAAAAGCTGGTAAATAATAGCTGGTGTGGCAGAGCGACAGCAGGGCAGTATCATCACAGATTTTTGGTTGTGGTTTCAACACGTGTGAGAGCGGAGGGGGAAAAAATTCATAATCGACAAACAGTGGTTCTGAACTTGGGCTCTTCTGCCCCCTCCTTGGCTCTCAGAAGCTCTGCAGGGAGGGGCGGATTGGAAAGGCAAAAGAACCTCATCGTAAAACCTGCTTAGGAATTAAACATTCCTGAAATCCTCTTACTGTAAGGTACTTGCTACTCTTAAGGCCAACAAAGCATTAAAGTCTCATCTAGGAAATGAATGTTCTTGGAAGTCTCTTACTGTAAAGTGTTGGCAACGCCAAGGCCAATGAAACATTCCCTACCACCTTTGATATCTAAAATGACAACAAATCTCTCTTGTTAGTAGATTTCCACGTACTGTAGTACGCGTTTGTCTTCTGCTGTACAGAGATTGTTCAAGACGATCGGTGAGGTGCTTCAGGCAGCACTTGATGCTCCTAATTTATATGGGCTAAAGTCAAAGAGAGATCCAATAGCTTTGGTTCTGCCAATGTTGTTTAAACGTGATCTAGACATAACTGGTCCAGAAAAGATGAAGTATTCTGTTACCATAAAACTGTATTAAGCATGGCCTAAATATTAGGTGTTTGTTCTGTATAGTATGTTCCATCAACTATTTATTACTAGTGCTTTAAACTCCAAATTAAACATCCATTTAAGTGGAGTCATTGGGCAGATGTTCCTTTTATCAGTATAGGTTGAGAGATTCTCTGTTGGAGGTTTAGGATACAATTTTGCTAACAGGTAAAACAATGTAAATATGTACGAATTCTATTTGTTGCACATAACTTTTTGGTATAAAAAAAAAAAAAATAAATGTAGAAATTACCAGTGGACGTCTTGCTGCATTCTTACATTCTTACACTGCATTCATGCAGTCCAAACATAAGAGCTTGAATGAACCCAATCAGAGGCCTTTTTGGACTCAGTCTGAGCCTTAGAAACTGTTGTTAAAGTCAGTACTGTAATTCTGTTCCTAGAAATGTACTCAGTTGTGATTATTTTTATTTTTTTTTTTCAAAGACATGGTGTGTCAGCAGTAGAAGGTTAAAGCACTTGAGTCCACAGAGATACCAGTTTATAGAGTTTCTGCAGCTTCACGGTGTCTTGCTGAATGTTGTGTGTAAAGGTTGAGCAGCACTGACTTGGGGCTTTAACTGTTTACAGTCCTTTAAGCAACAGGCAAAAAAACCCACCCCAGCCCCTTAAGCATGTTAGTTTTATCACTTCCTGCTTTCCTTGGTTCTGTACATCTGCTTTAACTCTGCTCTGACAAGTATCTGGAAGCTGGTGTATGTTTTCCTGGATTTGGGTGGACAGGCGGGTTGGGTTTACAATTGCACTGAGCTGTTGAGAATGAGCAGGAACTACGACTCTGAAATGCTGCTTATCATATGTGTGGATGTTACACTTGGCATCTGTTTTGTTGGACTGAATGAAAGTAATGGCTTTCTCTTCAGCAACCACAAGCCCTGTGTGTTATCACAGGGATCTGAGCCCTCGTTTGTAATGCGTTAATGATGTCAAATCTCTGGAAGAGAGGGAGCTGCTGGGGTGGACAGGCGGGTTGGGTTTACAATTGCACTGAGCTGTTGAGAACGAGCAGGAACTCTGAAATGCTGCTTATCATATGTGTGGATGTTACACTTGGCATCTGTTTTGTTGGACTGAATGAAAGTAATGGCTTTCTCTTCAGCAACCACAAGCCCTGTGTGTTATCACAGGGATCTGAGCCCTCGTTTGTAATGCGTTAATGATGTCAAATCTCGGTCTGTGTGTTTGATGTGGCAGCTGTTGGTATGTCCTATCTGTTGAAATGGGGAAGAAAATGGGTTTTAAAAAATTATGTCTAGAGATTGAGAAGTTGAAATGACTTTCAAACACTGGTACTGGGTTTAAGTATGATATTCCCTCTTACACCACAGTACATTTGAGCAAGTGTCTTTTATTCTGGATAGACTTTTATATTCTGGGGTTTTAGTTATATAGAAAATCTGTAAACCTAACACTGTATAACCATAAGGCATGTTGATGGTATGTTCCTTATTTTCCCTTAAAAACTCAAGAAAAAAAATGTTTTAAATTGCAGTACACATGTATGTATGTCCTTATTCTGCATGTCGCAGTGTGGAAGGTCTTGTTGGTTTCTAATGTACCACATCTAAAGGAAAGAGAATTTGGCCACCACACAACAATAGGAGCAAATATTTTCTTTATATTGGCAAATGTTTTGGTCAATTTCTTGATGTACTCAGTAGAAGAGCCAGTTGCAGAAAAAGTAGTCATAGCAACAATTCCACCCCGTTATCTCTGAATGGGAATAATGAAACTACGTAACTGTGCCAACTTCCAAAATTCAGTCGGCAGCCTCCAATCTTCTGGTTCTCCCGGGGTGACACCGCTCTCGGGACAGCCCTGGGATGTTGCAATAAGGTGTTTGCAGACTAAGTGTTCTGAGCTC